GTATTTATTTAATTTTCATTTATTTATATTACATTTATTAAGATGATACTGGTTAATAAAATTACAAGTTTCAAGTGTATAATTTTATAATGTGTCATCAGTATATTGCATTGTGTACCTACCACCCAAAGTCAAGTCTTCTTCCATCACAGTATATTTAACCCCCTTTATCCTTTACTACTCCAATACCCTTCTCTCTGGTAATCACCATATTAAAATAGTTTATTGAAGCCAAAATTTATAAGAAAAGTGAAAATGAAAGTAATCCAAATTTTTCACATTTTGTTATAATATTTGGTCAGTTTAAGGTATTATCTGTATGCGACACTCCATTGAGACCAAATAAGATGTGCCACATATTTAGGTAAAATGAGATATTTCATTCTATGCAACAATTTCAGAGCTGTGTAATATTCCCCACTTAAATGAGAAAACTTTGTACTTATTCCTGTCATTCACATACCTAGAATGACTTCTAAATGCCAGACTAGCCATTGTAGCCTGAACTGTTATACAATAAATCAACACGGTTGTGATAAGGTGCTATTAATTTTACATTTAAATTTAATTTTATTTCCATGCAATCTCTACCAATGATCTTTGGAGATAAGATATACAGTGTTTGAATACTTACTTTGGGCACCGGGTAGTCAATGGTCCAGAGGAAAGATATTCTACCTTCAAATGGTTTTCCTGTGCATGTATCACTTGCCACTTCTGTAACACAGACACAAAGCTCAATGTCAGGAAAAAAAAATGTAACTGGGGAAGATATTTTATTTATCATATGACAAATTTCAAATATCCTTAAATTGATATCCTGTTGCAGGCTCTCAGGAACAATTGCAAATGTGATTTGGCTCGTTGATTCCTCAAGGGAAAAGGAAGAAAGAGATCTTCAAGAGCATATCAGATTAGAAAGTTTAATAACACCGCGATCTATTAGGAAACCTTCAACAGGTCACACTGGGCCAAAAATACATATATAAGTGTACAAGTAAGAAAAATGAGTCAGACACCTAGGTAACACCAGCAGATGTCCTGCATGACTGCATGTAATTACCATGTTTTTTTGCTCATGCATAAGGTTTTGAGTCCCAAACCCTGTGATCCCATGCAGTACTTTCCTAGTTATCACCAATTCCATGGATGTGGCATATTTTTAGAGCCTTTTCCCGACTGTCCCCTCCAAAACCTGATAATTACACCCCATTTGATAGCTTAGAAAGTTACTTGGATATCAAGATTAAGGTTATAGAAAAAGGGTTGGTTCGGTTCAAGAATTGTATTATTTTTTCCTGAAAGGAGCTCCAAAAGCAACCTCTATAATCAAACAACTGGAAGAGCCATCTTAAATGTCTCACTAGAACCAATATAGCTTCTATCATCTTAAGGGTGTATCAGATTCCCCCCCCTTCTTACTAATCTAATCAAATGATGGGTTTTTTTTTTGTTTCTCCCACACATTTGCCATGTCATGTGAAAGTGAGCCAATTGAAGGGTCATTTAGTATGCTTTTATGAAGAAAATGTTCTTTCCTAGGAAAACTAAGCAACAAGAAAACTTAAGTTTATTTACTGAACATATTTAATATTTTCAGTCCACTAGGTTTTCTGGCATGTGGCTTTCTCATTGGACAGCCTGCTCATTTGCAGAGGGCTATTCACTTTGCATTCATTCAACAATATTTTCATTGTTGGTATCTTTTTCTATTAGAGAATTATAATGTTTATACGGTGTTTTACATTATTTCCATTTCTGAAGTTTTCAGTAAAATTTAGGAGTATATACAGTTCTGAATCTTCTGACACTTAACAGATGGGATGCTTTTTTTCCCTTTCTACCATTTTTGTTTATCATATGACTTTGATTTAGTGTTGACCACGCGGCTTTGGTGGATTTGTGTATCCTTTACATTTATATTAGCCCAGTTTTGTAAGCAAGAGGATGTCATGTGTCACCACATTGTGGCTGTATTCCTGAAAATAATGACTTGTTGGTACATCTGACAATGATGTTACAAGGTTTGAAACAGAAGTCTATTCAATTGAAACTAAGCTAATTTCTCTAGATATCACCTTTTGATATATTGAACTCCAGTTTTTTTATTAAAAAATTTTAATAAATATAAAAAGAGAAGATAAAATAAAGTATTTATATAGTGTTCTAGATAACACTAATTATATTAATAACAATATTAGGTCACTAGTATGTATATATTATTGCTCACAGATATACTTTTGTAAGATTGACTTGTTTTTAATTTTATTTTTAAAATTTCAAAATAATAGTCTTTGAAATCTTGTAATACATCCTTTTTACAATAATTCCAATTTGTGAACCCTGGGATTTATTCATTCTTTATAACTAAATTTCTAGTCTTCAAAAAAGCAAATACATTTTAATTTTGATGAATCTCTTATATTTTAAAGATTTTCAACCATTATGGTGGGATTGGGGGTATTTTAGGGAATATTATTTTTTCATCACCATTTATACAACTTACTTTTCATGATAGCTTGCAAATTAACCTTTTTTTGTTTTCTTTCAGTCTATGTGCTTATTTTTATTTAATGGCATATCAAAATATTTGGCCTTAATAAGCATACATAACAAAAATGTCCCACCACTGGTCAAGCATTCATGTCAAAATTTGATATTGCTGACATATCAAAAGAAGGAGGAAGAAAAGAACAAACATTTACTGAACACTTACTCCATGTTTAGCCTTTTCACACAATGTCTCATTTAATCTTCACATGTTATAATGTCAGTTATTTTCTCAGTTTTGGAATTGAGGCATGGATATGTTAAGAAACTTATCCAAGTCATTCTAAGTAACATTTTCAGAACCAACATTACCCCTGTTTTATTTTTGAAGTGTATTCTGCTGTAACACACTGTAATTATTTCCAAATAGTTTCTTCTCTTCTGGATGGTGAAGCTTTGTGGTTTGAATATACAATGAATTATTCTGCAGAATTCTTGGTCATTTCATCTTTTTCTCACTGCCAAAGTTAGACAGTCTTTAATCTTCCTATACATTCTTTATACTTAGACTTGATTTTAGAATGTTGTGATTGTAATCTCTTAAGTTGTTGAGAGTATTGTTGTTTGATTATTTATTTCATTTTGAAATAGAGAGATGCTTATATCGCTCAAAAGTATGGATTTAGATCATCGTGCCAAAAAAAGACCTTAGAAAAAATTCCAGCTTCTATATTCAACATTGCAACCAAATAAATCCTTCTAAAAATTGTAAGAGTATGTCCCTCTCACTCAGAAGCCTTTAGAGGCATCCCACCTCCATCAGGGGTGGGTCCAAAGTCCTCACCCCAAGGGACCTACAGATCCCTGCCCCACTTGGTCCTGAACCTTCCTCCCTGACCATGTTCCTCTCCTTGCTATTCCTTGAACAAGCCAGACACCCTCCACCCTTTGGCTTTCAAATCAGCTCTTCTCTTTTCTGGGAGGACTCTTTACCCCAGATAACTTTCATGATTCATTTCCTCATCTCTTTCAACTAAAATGTCACCACCTTTTTACAACTATACATTCTCATCCCTCACTTGCCATGACTCTTACCTGCTGTTCCCCGCTCTGTAGTACTCACTACACCCAACATACTGTATATTTATTTATTTTCTCATTTCCCCCTGTAAATTATATACTCCATAATAACAAGAAATTTTTGTCTTTCCCCCCACTGAGATTTCTCTAGCACCTGGGACAGTGCCTGACACATGGTTAGTCATCAATGGATATTTGTTAAATAAATAAATGTAAGTTTCAATACATACTACTCATAGAGAATGCTACACTGAGTTCAATGAAGGGTCATGGAAATATAAGAAAAAAGTAATCTTCATATTGCACACTCATTAGTGTGTAGAAGGGTAAATTTAGTCTGAGTCAGCCATGCATTGATAAGTGAACTTGCTCCTATTAAATAAACCACTTGAGCAAAACTCAGTGTTGTTTGGAAGTAAGAGATGCTGGTACATAGATCTGACATAGGCTGTTCATGGGTGGGGAGGGGTGATTGTGTCCCATGGGTAAATTACATACAATCCATACAAGTCTGTGTGGCTTTAATTAGTTTTTCTCTTCAATCTAATGACACTCTGAAGGAAAAGTAAAATGTGTAAGCATCCATGAAGTAAACTTGGGTCAACACTTTTTTATTACCTATTTTAGCATAGCTGAAAGAAGGGAACATAACAAATATTTTTCATTCACCCTGCTCCTGATCTCATCACTGTCTAATGAAAAGTGTAGTTTCGGTTCTATTGATTGGGTTTTGGAGTGAGGTGGGGAGAAAGGAGGTACTTTTAATTAAAAGTGAAATAACACTGTGTTTATATTCTTTGTCCCCATGTGAGATATGTCACTTTATGACTCTTGAACTTTCTTTTGTAAATAATTTCACAGAAACACATCCTGTCTATGTGTTTCAAGGAAAGCCAAGGTTTATGTACATTTCTTAATGTCATTAACTTCTTTTACTGGGGAATAAGACTGTGGCCGAGTGAAAAGTAGTTGTTAAAATAATTTTACTTTTTCATTTTGAACAGTGCAGTTTAAAATTATTTCCAAAGATACGTGAATTCAATGTTTTACTTATACAAAGCTAATTTGGAAAAAATCCTTATGTTCTGCTAAGGTTTATTGTCCACATGTCACTGAGAGTGCTGTGGCCATTGAATTTGCTCATTAAATATTTGCTTGATTGTGTAAATAAATGTGTGAATGATTTTTTAATTCTCAGAAATGAAATAGGAAGGAAAGAAAATGAAACTATTTTGTGGAATTCTAAAAAAATACTTTGGCAGCTGGAGAGAAATCCATGACCTAGGTAAAGTGTCCCAGAACACATGGAAATCCTGGACTCATTCCAGAGCCAGCCCCGGAATGCCAGAAGACCTGCAGGGCAAGAGAGCGGGGCAGAGTTCATGCTTGATGCCAGCAGGCTTGAGGCAATATCAGAGTCCCATCCCGGGATGGTAGCCATAAGCAAGATCCTGGCTTGCAGGTAAAGTTCAAAGGGCCAAAAGCAGGTTAGGGGCCAATGATCAACTCTGGCATATAAGGATGGGCAGCAGAATGCATAAAAGGGTAAGTGTGACATTTCCTGATTCAAGGTCTGATTAGATTTAGTCATGTTAGAATTCGTAGGTGAGATATCCTGGAGAGTCTCTTTGCAATATTTTTAGAAATCTCTAACTCTTAGGAAAATGTGCTTTGTAATCACTTCCAAGTATTTTCTAACATAGACTGATTCCATGACTCTGCCTCAGTTAAAATCGATAAATATTGGCATTTACCATTTAAACATCTTTGCATTCATTGTCTTTCATTAAGTTGATTTTACTTTTCTAAGCAACATTTTCCCATCAAAGTCAGGGTGTAGGTGATATCCGACAGCACAAAGAGTTGCTTTTCTCCTACTAGTAGAGGACATAATAAGCTGTGCTCCTGGCTTTGTATGTGGCTATGGAGGTTTCAGAATGCTGTTGAGAGCTTCTATCTTTTCTCCCACAGCGTTGAGTAGGGATTTCATTGGGGAGGGTTATGTGAATATCTGAGTGATTAATAAGATAATACTGGGAAATGAGCTTCAGAGAAGTATGAAGACCCAGCTGTGCATGCCCTGCAGGGGTTGGTGTATATTCTTGTACACGAGTGTGTATTTGCAGTGGGGGTAGGGTAAGTTTAAACAGGAAAACTCTCAGTTTAATAATATGCCTTGTGGCCAATTTTAATGTAAAGAAAAAGCAAAAAAATATACATAAAAAGAAATTAGTCAAAGATACAGAGTCCTAGAACAGGATAGAATAAATTAAACTAACAATTTCTACTATTATCAAATTATAATAAGAGACAAGCTACTTGATAACAGACAAGTCCAGGAAATAGAGGACAGTTCCTTTTGTTTTTCTATGAACACATGCTCTCTGGATCTTGTGTCATCCATGACATATCTTAGGCAGGAAAAGTTTCCTTTTTTCTATGATACATAATAGCAGTCTTTTGGAAACACAGGTAGATTTTGCTCCAAGAGGCTCCATTTTTAACTCCGAGTGTTTTGTACAAACTGGTTTATTCTTGTAGGTTCTAACTTCCTCACATCGACATAACTGAGGATCTCACAAAAGCCAATAGCATTACATATAACACAGTATGAATGATAATACATCTAGGTGGATTTTTAGCTAAAGGAATGCTCAAGCTAAAAATGCAAAATTAAAGTGCTAATAGTATCCTTTGGGAAGACCTTTAATGGTACATCATGAGGTCTTTTGGGAAGATTTTAAGATGTCAAAAAGCAAAGTGAGATAGCTGGTATACTTCACACCATATCAGGAACCCTTCAAATCAGAGGGTCTAATATAACATATTTGAACACAATACCATATAAGGAAAATATATGGCTATTAAAATACCTAGCACATACTCATATACAAATAACTTTATGTAGTTGTTCAGAATATGTAGCTTTGTAAGAAATTATATTAGACACATTTGAATAGGTGCTTTTAAGGGGTCATGATAGTGAGAATCCATGGATAAAAGAAATATTAATAAAATAAACTAAAATAGAAGGTGGCCTTGGGGAGTTTAATGGTGAAGACATGCCAAGAATTGAAGAGTATAAACACTACAATGTTTTGCACTTGAAGTTCAAAGAAAAGAAATACAAAAAAGTGAGAAAAATAAATAAATATATTAAAAATTAATATTAAACCTAATGGTGAAAACCTAGTTGAAAAGACATTCTTAATGTTGATATAAATGAAAAAGATACTGAGGTTTTAGTTGTCTGTAGCCTGGGTCATCATTATATTGTGACTGACAAAGAAAAACTAACTCTGGTTGCCTTTAAAATCCATAATGCCTGGAACAAGGAAGGTTATAGGGTACCTTTACTCATAGAACCAAACCCTGGTGATGATAATCAGTTCTGGGTGCCAAAGTTTAAGCTTTAGGGAAGGTGACTACATTCAATGAAGAAATCAATGTCATAGGAAAGCTGCCTGATATTATCAGTTAGGTATGAAACAATCTAAAACTCTTGTATGCAAAAAAGTACAGGGTACAGCAGAAGTAAAGCCTGCTTCAGTGTAGTTGGTAGGATAATAATATGGTTATAACAATTTATAGTTTTAATTCGAACATATCACCTGAAATGTCGTATGGTGTGCTTGAGTGTGATATTGTTGTATTTCAGATTTACATGTTTATCCTTTTGTAATAACAGATTTTGTCATAAAAGGGAACGCTATTTATGTTGGACCCTATACTTTCATAATCTCTGTAAATATGTAAATTCTGCCTTTTTGCCTCTGCTCTAGTGAGCTGGTAGAAAGAATCCCTGTCAGTCTAAGGATACTTCACTCCCCAAATTGTTTAATTAGGGGTTCTTAGGCATTGCTTTTGTGTCAGTTATGAAGACTACATGTTTTTTAGTCATTGCTCATAGAGATAACTCATGAGATAGTCATTGTTCACATGTGTCTCTTTCAGCTTTGCTATACTTAGCTGCTTCTTTGTCACCTTGGGGTAGGAAAACCTGGAATGAGGCTGATTCTGACATTGTTTCTTGATAGACCACTCTGCTTGCCATATGGGTACCTCACAAGCAGTCTTAGTGGGAAGTGGCCATAGGTCTCATCTGTCTTTGGGAAACATAGAATTGTTTTCCTTGCCCCTTCTCTCCTAGAATCCAGGAAACCCCTCTTTAGAATAGAGAACAGTCTTTCTCCCTTCACATTCTTCAAGACCTTTGATTCCTCTAAAGTCAAGCTCTTGAAAAGTAGAGCTATAAAAATTTCCATTTTGCCATATTCTTTTTCCAAAGTCATAGTACTACAGAGCTATCTCCTAGAATAATAAAAGGGAAAAAAAGAAATAGAAGTAAAAATAAAGTGAACAACAACAACAATATAGGCTACTTTATTTTTCAGACATATAAAAAAGAATTTTGTAATGACGCGCCTCAGTCAGTTGTATGGTGGGCCTTGGGTATAAGTTTGTCAAAGAGAATATATTCCCATAGCTTCACCTTTTAGTGCTGATGTAGAAGTATTTTTTAATCCTCACCCCGAAAATATGTTTATTGGTTTAGAGAGAGAGAGAGAGAGACATCAGTGTAAAAGAAAAGCAGGGATCTGTTGCCTCCTATACACACCCCAGCCAGGGATCAAACCCATGGCCTAAATGTTAGCCCTGACTGGTGATTGAATCTGCAGCTTTTTGGTTTGCAGCATGATACATCAACCAGCAAAGCCACTGGGCCAGGGTTAGAAGTATTTTAAGCCTTGGATGGGAAATTGGATGCAATGCACTGAAAGGGTCTGCTCTGAGTGACGGCCTAGGATAATGGCAATCCTAAATTCCACATCAAGTGTTAAATGACAATGCATGTTAATTGAGAGGTTGCAAAGTATCTAATGAAGACACATTTAAACTCAAAATATATAGCAAATCTAAAAGTTTATCATGAGGTAGGTGATCAATATATTGAGTTAGATTTTATTATAATTTTAAGGAATCTATTTCTTTAAGAACATAAGACCACGTATTATTATAAACACAAGTAAGTGTAAAACATATCTACAAAACCCATAACCTATTTTTAGGAAAATGAGTTTAGATGACTTATCAAATATTTATGTCAGGTTATAAGCAAGAAAATAATAAAAATAAAACTCCATACAACAGAAACACTGTAATACATATAAAATATATTAACATTTTTGCTTTCTTTTCATTTTTAGCATACGCGCTTTATAATAACTAGAAATGTTTTTTTCCAAATTCTTTCAAATAACGTGTGTTCTCTGGTTCAATGTACTGCATTAAATAATGTGAGAGAAATACAGACAAAGGCATATGTCTGCAATTTAAAATGAGTTAAAAATTTAAAATGATTAGAAATAATAAGATCAGTCCTGAATATCAAAGATTTTTCTGGCCCATCCCACTCTGCAGGGAGACTAACTTATAGTTCATGAGAAATTTGTAAATGGCCTAGAGTTTCTTTCTTTCTTTTAGTGATTACTTCATTTCTAAGCTTTCTTAATTGTATTTTTTCATTACCATGTATCCCTCCTCTACCTGCTTTCATCTACACCCTCTCCACCCCCCCATAATCATCACACTGTTGTCCGTTTTCATGATTTTTTTTCTCTCCCTATCTTTTTGTTCTTGCCTTTTTTTGCTCTTATGGTTGCTCATGGGGGCTGGAGGATAAAAGAAAAGTAACTGAATGTCTGGTTTATCTGCTGTCCTTTCTAAAGAGAGTAATTAATGATAGTTGTGAGACCCTATGAATCTGAACATTGCTTTACATTGCCTGAGAAACAAACGGATCATTTACCAGCTATACTACCAAAAGATGTAAGCTACTGTAATTGCTCTCCAATCCTCGTGTATGGTTTAATTTGCTGCTAAAAAGTTATGATTTCCTCCACCCACTTCATGTTAGAGAGGCACTAGTCCCCAATAATGACTAGAAAACTGGCATTGCAGGAAGAAGGCAGCATTCATAACTCTGCCTTACTAAATTCCTTTGAATTGAGCTATGTAAAAAAGTGGAGTTAATAAAAAGGACTTTTGAAAGTACTGAAAGCACAAAAGATTAGCCAAAGAACATGTATGCACATATGCATACCCCATTGACACAGACAACAGTGTGGTGAAAGTGGGGGGCACTGGGTGGAGGGGGGCTAAGGAGAGGAAGGTGAGCAACATCTGTAATAGTTCCAGCAACAACCACATGATTACTTTCTCTTATTTCCCTTCCCAAAATTTGTTCCCAGAAAAACCCATGTTCTTTCCTGTTGGATAAGTTTTTCTTTTAGTCTTTTGCTTCCAAAGAGTTCCTATAAGAAAGAAAGGCAAAGGGTTTGGGTGAGATGTGCTTTAAATAACTTTATTCTGATAACAAAGGGAATGCTTATACCATCAACTAAGCCCGGAAGAATCATTTTCATTTATCTGTAAATTATTTCCCTGAATTCATTTACTCATTAAGTTATCCAATAAATATATATTGAGCACCCACTACAGGCCAGGCACCATTCTCTGGGGATAAAACAGTGAATGAAATACTACAATTTCTGCTCTTATAAAACTTACTTCATATGTGACAAAAATTACAATTAAAAAGTAAGTTGAATATATGGTACCTAGATGTAGTCATCTTAGTCACTTGGTGTAAATTCCCTTCAATGTATCCTTTTTAGTTATTATTAATAATCCTGGCATAGCTCTCTACCTACAAACTTTTCCACTCTTGTATGTCCTTAAATAATCTCACCAAATAATTTGGTTTTATTCTATGCAAACTTGCAAGTATCCATTGAGTTCTCAAAGTGCTAAGTGCTATGATTGATTTTGTGGGAATAATGTAAAAACAGAGAAAGTGCCTGATATGTTCTCGACCCTCAAAGTACTTTCAACTTATCTTTGTTAAACTCTGCACAATAGAATTTACACTAGGCAGAATATTCTGAAGTTGGCGAGGATAACTCACACAAAGGTAAATAAATCACCCTGTAAAGAAGGTGCTATGTGATTACATATTGAAGATGAGACTTAAGGTGTGAAATGGAAAATTAAAGAAGATTATATCAGGCCATAGGAAAGAAATAACCAAAGATATGAATGACTGTTGTGTTAGGTAGCATCTAGGAATGAGCTACCAGAGGGGAAATAAAGGCAGGGCCCTCACCATTACAATCTAACAAAGAACTCAATACAGGAAGCTAGAAGCAAAAGGAAGACATGTCTCACCAATTAATTCAGCAGTCCTGAGCTTGGTCTGATAAGATTGCCAGGTGTGCTGAGCATCACAAGCAAATAGCACAGAAGGAGAGTCCTTGACATTGTGCTGAGAAAATGGGCTTCTGTAACAATCTTACTAAGATTGCTGGGTGACCTGAGCATCACAAGCAGGAATAGCACAGGAGGAAACGGGGGAGTCCTTGAGGTTCTATGCTGGGAGGGGAGCTTCTGTAACAATTTCACTAACTAAGACAGGAGCCTTTACTAACTGAGAAGGTCTTTATAGCCACACATTATTCCCAAGATTTAGAAGGGGGAGAAGGGGGAGGAGGGGGAACCCAGAAGCCAGCTGAGGTATATAATCCCTGAACCCCAATACTCAGTGTGTTTAGATTAGCTATGTATTCATTTGTAGCTTTGGCTGAAGTGTGTAGAACAAACTGACAAACTTACTAACAATCTTACTAACAACTTTCTTCTATATGTGAGGCATTTAGACTTGCCAGGTGCCTGCTTGCTGCTCTGTGCTTGTATGTGTTTCATAAAGAACCTTTCTCTTCATTTCCACTATACATGTTTGTCTCTCGATTAAATTATTCTTTTGTGGGTGAGACAAGAACAGAGGCAGGGAGGGATCTTCTTGACTTGGGGTCTCTCCCTCCCTTCTGTAACAGTTGCATGTTGAAGAGAAAGGAGAAAGAAGTAAGTGGAAAGTAATTTACAGTGCATTATTGAGGATAAATATGAGCCAAGGAGGAGAAATCAAACTATTACATGTTTTAATTCAAGCTGAACAACAAGATTCAAAAAGTTTGACTTGACATATGTTAAGTGAATGTCATGCTAAGTGAAATAAGCCAGTCAGAGCAAAATAAATACCATATAATTTCACTCATATGTAGAATGTAAAGGACAAACTGAACTAACAAGCAAAGTAGCAACAGACTCATAGATAGAGAGCAAGATGACAGCTATTGGGGGTGGTTAGGGAGTGGACGGATCAAGCTGCAAGGAAAAAGCACTCATGGACCCGGACATCAGGGTGGTGATTGCAGAGGGAGGTGGGTGTAAGGGAGATAAATGGTAATGAAAAAATACAATTAAAAACGATTCAGGGGAGATATTTCCAAGACTGAATTACTTTAGTGAAACTGTTGTGGTTCCTCTAGTTGTGTGTTCTGGGTGGAAAGTAGATCAAAGAATTCTATTAGATGGCTTTTCAAAGACAGAGAGTTTTCCAGGAAAACAGTGTCTTAGAACTGGGCTTCAGTTTTGTTATGTTTAAATCCTCACCTGAGGATATATTTATTGAGTTTAGAGACAGAGCAGAGACAGAGGAAGAGAGAGTGAGAGAGAGAGGAGAGGAAGAAAGGGAGGAAGGGAGGGAGAAAGGAAGGAAGGAAGGAAGGAAGGAAGGAAGGAAGGAAGGAAGGAAGGAAGGAAGGAAGGAAGGAAGGAAGGAAGGAAGGAAGAGAAACATTGACATGAGAGAAAAACATATATTGGTTACCTCCTGACCTGATATTGAACCCACAACCTAGGTATGTGCCCTGACCAGGGATAAAACCCACAACCTTTTGGTGTATGGGAAGATGCTCCAATAAATTATGCCACCTGTCCAGGGCTAGGCTTCAGTTTTATAAAAATGAACTGATGTACACAAGTTCATGTGGCTTTTCCTGGTCTGTGGAATAAGTCTTCACTAAAAATCTCAATCCTAATATAGTAGAATTGGACTGAGGGACCAACCTAAGGACTCAAGAGTAGTAACTCAGAGAATGAACATGGTTTGCTCCCCAAACATTACATTTACCTTCCTCAAATGTTTATTGAGTACCTTTTTTTGTATGTGGCATTTTATTGGGTACTGTGAGATAAGAGAGACAGAATGTACCATTTGGTTCTGCCTCATTCATTGTTCAGTACATATTTTTTGAGCAACTTCTATGTTGTAAAGACCAGCATTCTACCAGGACTTGGGAGTATCTTGTGATGTTTCCTTAAAACTATCCTCTGCAAGTAATTACCCACCTTTGTATCCTGACCTTTCCCATCCGTGTTTCAGAATTTTAGATGCTGTATGAGATAAAATCAGATTTTTTCATTTAAATTTAGGTTGAAGAAAATAATAATAAATTAACATATATGAGGAAATAAGCACTTCTTCTAATGAAGCCAAAAGAAATTTGGCTTACTGAAGATAAATCCAAACTACTTGGACTCTTGCTGGTCTTGCTTTGGAGAGTAATGTCTCCATTATTTTCCTGAAAGGACATTTTTCTGGCTTCTTGCCAGTCCTCATTTTAAGTCCATTCACTGTGGACTCGGTGATATCATAATAGTTAAGTGAATTTCACAGTTGTTCAAAAGCTGATAAGATGTCAAATCTGAGTTGCTTTCATGTTTGTTTTTCTCTGAAATGTCATCTTCTGTGTGTCAAGAAACAATAAATATACAACCAAAAGAACAAAGGAAAGAATCAACAAAATAATAGAACTCTTACATTATTATGCATTGAAACAAAATTGAAGAAAGGTAATTAGAATTGGAAAATAAATGAGTTTACTGAAAAATTGGTTTTCATAATATATTAAAATTATGCTGCTTTAAAACTTAATGAATGCCTACTATAATTCTCGTATACCTGATCTTGTGTTGTTTTACTTTATGATTTTGTTATATTCTTACAGGAAATCTGTGGAGTAGTTAATACAACATTCATATTATGTCTGTGAAAATTAACATAAGAAAGGTGAAATGAGTCATACAGCTAGTTAATGATAATGGTGGTTTGGTGGGAAGAACACAGCTGTCTTGTCACAACGACTGTAGAATAAAATTTTTAAAAAGGTAAAAATCAACTTGAGCTTTCAATAGACTTGATAATAATAGAGAAGACATACATAGCAGCATGAACTGTCTATACACATTGTTTTGCTGTTACCATGTATTGTAATTGCATCCATATTTCATTAATTAAAAATTGATTCTATGAAAATCATAATATTGATCAGCATCTTCCTAAACCAAATGAAAAGATAAAGTAGAATTGAGCTTGTAAAACATTTGTGTTGTCATGTAGGGCATTTACTGTATCCAGACGAGTCATCTTTTTTAGTTAGAAGTTGTCAAAGTGCTTGCTGATGATTGATTTTGTATCAGGTCAAGTTAATATGCCAATTCTCCAATTACCTGCCTCCCTCCTGCTAAAAAATAAATCTTAAGCCCTGGCTGGTGTAGCTCAGTGGATTGAGTGCGGGCCTGTGATCCAGACAATCGTGGTTCAATTCCCAGTCAGGGCACATGCCTGGGTTGCAGGCCTGTTCCCTGCAGGCCAGTTCCCAGCAGGGGACGCACGAAAGGCAACCATACACTGATGTTTCTGTTCCTCTCTCCTTCCCTCCTCCTCTAAAGATAAATAAATAAAATCTTAAAAAAATAAAATAAATCTTAAAGCAATAATAATTCAGTGTTTCTTTTACCTTCCATATTACAGATTTTGCAGAAATGAAAATACTCTTCCTAGCCATTCTTAAGAGGTTGTGTTGAACACGAAAAAACCTTAAAGGCCAAAACTGGCTACCTATGGTAAGGAGAAGTTTATCAATGTAATGTATAAGGAACATGCGATGGTTTCCCAGAGTGACATGCATCATCTTCCCACATGAAACTTTGCAGAATGTGATTTACAGTTGGGTAGCTTTTCAAGGCAGGGCACAGAGATCTCTGGCTGTGAAACACCCATTAATGTCAAAAGGTGTCAAGGGGCCCTATTCCTCATGGCCCTCTTAGAAGAAGCACCTGTGTCAACCTGCTGTGAGAGGAGTCCATTCCTTTTCTAAAAATTCCAAATGCCATTGGTGATGAGTATCAGTTACAGATGTGAATGTAACTTTAGGTTGGTTCTTGGACTTGCCTGTGTGGTCAATGGTGGCATGAACAGGAAAGTCACATGTTTTACCCCATCTGATTCTAGATATATTTTGTGAGTATGGAAAAACTACTATGAGCATAAACATTTACATTATGTAAAATATAAGTCATATAACAAAAAATCTATGCAAATAAAAAGTCATAATGTAATGTTATATAATATACTCCTTATGCAACTCAGATCCATATAGCTTCAGACCTAGAACAAAGTAGCCAAACAAAGAAGGCCCATCTGTAATGGAAAGACCCAGCGCATCAAGTCTTTGTTTCTTTTTTTTTTTCTTTTTTTTTCTTTTTTTTTTTTTTAAATTTTATTTAGTTATTTTTCAAGTACAGTGTTTTGTCTATTTTTCCCATCCCAGCCTCCCCTGCCCCTTGCTCCCCACCTCCCTCCCATTTCCTCCCCCCCCCCTTAGTTCTCGTCCCTGTGTCCTTCCTATTTGTTCCTCCAAATCCCTCCCCCTTTTTCCCCTTAACTTCCCTTCCTTCTCCCCTCTGGTCACTATCCCCTTGTTCTCTATTTCAGTGTCTTTGTCTCATCAAAATAAAAAGCTTCTGCATGGCTAAAGTCTTTGTTTCTTACTTCTTCCAAACAGGGAAGATGGCACATGTGCCCTTGCAGTATTTGTTAAAATTCCCATCTATCTTTTAAAATTTACTAGTCTCACACACTTTAGCAAACTCTACTCTGCTGCCTTCTAAAAATCTTTGACTTTCTCTCAAGCACCTATACTGTATGTATTTTCTTTTCTCCCATTCTCTTTTAAAAGTCCTAGAACCAGTTTGGTTAGGCTGGATCTGCCTTTGAGAAGGTGGGGTGGGCAAGAAACTAAGAAGGTCATGCCATGATCATCTTCAGCAGAAGGTAAACAGCTAATTACTGATTCATAATTAAGGGTCCGTAACATTAGAGATTTTTAAAAGCACCCCTTGGTTATCCATTCACGTACTCATTTTTAGCAGTTCCTGCTATCATAGAAGAAGTTTAAAATTTAGATGAGGGAAATGTTTAGAACATACAGTAGTATACAGCATGACAGTAGCCACTAGCCATATTTTGTTGCTCTTAAGTACCTAAAATGTAGCCAGAGTAACTAAATAATTTAGCTTCTAATTATATTTAATTTACCCTTAAATTTGAATAGCCACAAATATGAATTTGAATAGCTACTGTATTAGATAGAGTACATTTGTTAAATCCAGAAACCCAGTTTGTGAAGTAAGTACCACAATTTCAAAATAGGGTTAATACTGTGAGATAAGTACAAACAAAATTCTTTAAGGCTCAGAGACGTGAAATATCTCAACTGAGAAAAAATTTAATCATCAGTTTAATGTAGTTTGAAGGATGAAGCAGCATCATTTACATTAGTGCAGTTGATTTCATAGGTGAGTTTAAGGGTAAAGGAACACAGATATGCATCAAGGATTTTTGTGTACATTTACTCATTTAGTTTGCAAAGCTGGAAAATACCATCTTTTTCTGAAAACAAACAAACAAAAAAACCAGACAGTGTTAATTGAAACCCAAGTTCACCCAGGTAGTAAGGGTGCTTACTAGGTTTGAACACAAGTCAACTAACTCCTGATCTCAGGTGTATTCTACCTTATTATGCTGGTGAAGGAGTGAGGGGGAACCAAACATGATTCAAGGCTACAAAGCGGGATGACTTGTGAGTGGCAGTGGTTTAGTCTGGCAGAGGGTTAGCTTGGAGCTGGTAAATGGGTGTATAGACCAGTCATGGGGGAGATGGCCGTGATGATTTGAAACCAAGGGGAAAGGCTGAGGCTCAGGAAGGGCCTCTACATTTAGGAGCCAACTGTGAAATCTGAAAATTGTTGCTAGATTGGTTGGTGTGTCACCAAAAGAAAAGATGCATGAATAAGGGTGCTTATATTAAAGCTTGGGAAACATGACTTATTAGGGCTCAGAAAGAGAAGATGGACCACTAAAGGATCAGTGAAGTGATTCGAGAAGTAGGAAGAAATAACATTAAATAGATGGTAACCAGTGCCAAATACTACAGACAATAGGGAGGGTGCAGAGCAAGTAATGAAAATGAAAATTTTCCTTTGGAGACATTTAGTTTCCTTGAAAAGAGAGGAAACAACTTTTAAGAACCTTCTACTTTCCTCAAAATTTGTACTTTCCAGAGGCTCTTTTCTCTATGTTCCTAAGCATATACTTTCAAACAAGTCACCTGGTTATTTATTATTTTTATTATTAGTTTTTAGGACTTTTAGGTAGATAACAGCCGAATATTTTAAAATTAAACTTAATGGTTTTCATGAAGCTGTATGTGTCTCTTCTTCCTCTCTCCAGCACCCAGTTTTGTGTCTGGAACTTAGCAACACTTAATACAAATTAGTAGGGTGAATGAATGAGAATGGAGAACTGTTTTTTTTTCCAATGAGTATTTTAGCATTTAAGGTGAAGATTAATTATGGAACCCCCAGGTACTAAGTATTATTGGTAATACAAAACACATCTAACAAATGATAAATATTATTCTTGGTCTCAGAGAATTTATAGTTTATTTAGAAGAGAGAATAAGACAAACAGACCCAAGATTATTAGGTGCTAAGTTTTGCTGAGCACAGAACCTGCAGCCAGCCACTGTACAGCAGTCCAGCTAAACTAGGTTTTTTTCTTAATTTTTTATTGTTCTTCAAGTACAGTTTTCTGCCATTCCCCCCCCAGCCCAGCCCCCCAGCCCTCCTCACCTCCCTCCCATTTCTACCCCCCCCCCCAGTTATTATCCATGTGTCCTTGTAATTTTTCCTGCAAAGCCTTCACCCCTTCCCCCTGAAATTCCATCCTCTTTCCCCTCTGGTCACTGTCAGCCTATTCTCAATTTCAGTGTCTTTGGTTATATTTTGCATGCTTGTTTTATTGATTTAGGTTCCTGTTAAAGCTGAGATGATATGGTATTTGTCTTTCTAAAGTACTGAACTCCTTTCGCCTTCTGTGGAAGCTCCCTGACCACCACCTCCTCCTTGGCCACTCAGGACATCTCCATATTCTAGCAAGCGAATGGGCAGGGCTGGCAAACAAGGGTCTCTAGAACCCTGTTCCGGTAGTATGTAGCCTGTGTCCACTCTGATTGGAAACATTTCTTATCTCAATCGTTGAATATTTATGGTATCACTTTGGAGGTGCATATTATTATCATGATATAAATTTGAAAGGAGCCTTGGAAAATCAGGTAAAACAAATGACTCAGGAAGTAATGATGATGTTCATCTTTTTACATAAGAATGATTATTAACCATTAATTGGTCACATATTAATCATGGATACATGGGTACATATGGTACACATCTATAGCATAATAATTTACCTTATAATAATAATATGATTTACTTTCTTTTTTCTTAGACCTTCTTCTATTATTGTCATACATTACATTTCTACATATGTTATGGAAACCAAAATACATTGCAGCCAATTCTGCTTTTAACAATGAATTATGTTTCAAAGATCAGAAAATTGAGAAGTAACGGCTTTCATATTCACTCACATACTAACCATTTGGTGCTCTTCATTCCTTTGTGTCTATCCAGATTTCTACCTGGTATCATTTTTGTTGGGCCTAAGGAACTTCCTTGCAGTGCATATGTGGTGGTAATAATTTTTTTCAACTTTTGAATGTCTAAGAAAATTATTTATTTCCCCTTCATTTTGTAAAAAAATATTTTCATTTGGTATAGAATTCTACATTGATACATGACTTTTTCTTTCAGTACTTCAAAGATAATTCTCCACTGCCTTCTAGATTGCATTGTTTTCATCAAGAAATGCACTATTATTCTTATGTCTGTTTCTCTCTATATAATGTGTCATTTTTTTCCTGTGGTGGCTTTTAAGAGTTTTCTCCTTATTACTTGTTTCAAGCCATTTAATTATGGTATGTATCAGTACAGTTGTAATTTGTGTTTCTTATGCTTGTCTTTTGCTGAGCTTTATGTATATATATCCATAACTTTCAACAAACTTGGAAAATTTTGGCAATTTTCCTTCACATATACTTTTTTCCTAATCTTCCCTTTTTGTGACTTCAAACACAGTCCCACAAGCTGCTTGCAGTTATCAAACAGCACTCTGTTCCTTGTCTGCAATCTTTTATCTCATTTTTCATATTGAATATTCTTTTTCAATACATTCAGATTCACTAATCTTTTCTTCTTCTTAGTCTCATCTGTTAATTGTACCCAGTCTGGTTTTTTTTCCAGGTATTGCATTGTTTATTTGCTTGTTTGTTTTATCTCCAGGAATGTGAATTGGGTCTCATTTACACTGTCAATGTTTCTATGATTTTTACTCTTCTACCTTCTTGAATATATGAAATATAATTATAAAGCTGTTTTAATGGTTTTGGTATACTAACTGTATCATTTGTGCCAGTTCTGGATCTCTTTCTATTGATCAGTTTTTGTCCTCACCACATGACATATTTTCCTATTTCTTTGCACATATCAGGGTATTTTTTATTGTATGACAGATATTGTGAAACATACAGGTGGTAAATATATTTATTCTGCCATAAATTTTCTTGAGTTTGAGGTTTGTTCTGGACCTCAATTATGTTACTTGGAAATAAGCTTGCTTCCGTGAAGTTTCGATTTTGAATTTCGTTTAGATGGGCTCTGACCAGCCTTTAGTCTAGGGCTAAGTTTCTTTTTTCACTGATGCAATATCTTCCTGTGTACGCTACTTGATGCTGAATGAATTACAAGGTTTTTACATTTTCTCCATGGGAATATGGACTAATTTCAGCCCTGTGTGAGTTCCGGGGACTTTTACCTCTGTTCCTCTTGAGTAGTTTTATACCCTTTCTTGGACGGTTTACTCACATGCATATGCTAATCAGTACTCAAAGACTGAAGGGCGACCCTGTGCTGATCTCTGGTATCTCCTCTCTTTGTGCCTCTCTCCTCCCTGGTACCCTGCCCTGTGAACTCTGGCTACGTTGGTTGCCTAACTCTGTCGCCGCCTCACTCCCATGAGACTTCTGGGATTCACCCGGATTCCCTCTCCCTGTGTGCAGCTTGGATACTTTGTAAAGTCCATAAACTAGGACAGCCATAGGGTTCACCTTGTTTTCTCTCTCTCAGTGGTCGCTTTTCTATGCTCTTAATGTTCAATGTTCAAAAACTGTTGTTTTACATTTTTGTACAGTTTTAAATTAGTTTTTTCAGGTGAAAGGGCAGATACAGTGCTTGTTACTTACTCATTATGGCAGAAGGAGAAGCAATTGAGTAGTTTTTTGGTATGTGAAATCTGGCCATAAACAGCTGTATATTTCTATGAAAACTCTAAATTCCGGTTGCTTTTTATCCTGGTAAGAGCTTCCGATTTTTTAAAATATAAACTTGCCAGAGTGTTAGCACTTTTTATTTACTATTTATGTACTTATGACTGTTTTTCCCCTCTCTATGCACTTCCTTTCCTGTTAATGTATCCCCAGTTAATCACATTGGTTCCCAGTTTAAAGCAATCTGCTCTTTTGTGTGTGTACATATGTATGTGTTTGCGCTCAAGTGCTTTTTAACCACTGTCACCTCCAGCGATTTCCTCCATGAAGCCCCACAGGCAAAGTGTTTCCATACTTTGCACTTAAAGCCTCCAAATGGGGCTTGTCATCAGGTCATTCTTTCTTCCCACAAAATCATTTCTTTGTAGGTCTAAGTTCTCTCTTCTAGGAATTTTAATTTGCACATTACAATGCATTGAAACAATCCAGGACCTCTTTTCTGATTCCACTTCTATCCAGAGTTTCGCTGGATCTGGGTGTGCTGTAAGTGGCCCCACGGAATTATGTAGCAAGTGACAAAATATCTTTAAACATCTTGTCAGGTTAATAAACTTCTATGGAGCACACCTTCTTCATTATAAAGTTGGTCTTCTCTATTGTAGAATCTAAGATTTCTTAGCATTTTCACTCTATGATCCTAGAAGAAATAGTTCTGGTACAAGTAGCATGCAGCACCACTTTTGACAAAAATCCATACCGCCTGTGGGATAATGTCCTATGCAGGTCTGACTTGAGTAGCCCCAATCCTTTCTGTCATCCTGTGTCTTTGAAACTGGCTCTTCTTTCCCCCCATTTGTCAGTTAAATTGTATTAGGAGCTCATGCGGGCTCTTTCATAGCTGGAGTAAAAAAAAATATTTTGTTAAAATGTTAGCTGGTACTAAATATAGTTATCATTATTGTGGCCTTTATATATACATTACAATTTTGTCACAAGCTCAATGTAATATCTAAAATTCCCTTAAAATAAAAACTAGTGAGTGTGTTATGAAATTATAGCCAGGACAGATGGCCAGATCCTGTCATTGGAAATAAAAGTAATGTTATAAGTGTATAACTCCATTGGGGAAATTGAGTACCATAATAAAGTAGACTTCCACTTTCTGCAATGAAATTCAATGACTGTTGAGGAGTTTAGGGTTTAGAAAATTGAAAAATGAAACCTTTGGTTTTTTTGCCGCTGTTTGATGATGTGTAGCAAGTCCCTTTATGGACTGAGGCTAACATCCAAATAGTAACAAGCTTGCAGTGAATAGAGCCCACAGAGGATAAGCTACTAAATCTTGCAATAAAAGCTGTGTGATTTACAGTAAATTCCAGAGGGCTGACAGCACCACAGCTGAGGGCATAAACACTTCTTTCATGGCTGAAGCTTCAGTCAGCTCTGTCTGCTGTGAAGTACAATCGAGCAGCGAGGCATGCTGCTTACCAGCAATGACTTTGATAAATAACTAGGAAGTCCCACTGTTGGCTTAAAACTAGAAGTTGTTCAGTTGCAATTCTGCATTTGTCCTGCTTTAATGGGTATGGAAGTGGCTTTAGCTGTAATCTGTCAGTGATTGATTAGGCCTTGCTGAATCCCCTCTCCAGTCTGTTTTCAGCTCCCTGCTTTCCACAGTTGAAACAAAATTGGTACATATGTGAGTGCCCTCTTATGAGGAAAGTAAACACTTTTAATTCTGCTCAAGTGAGTATGAGTTAAATGGCCCCAACTGATAAATTGGTGACAGAACAACAAATCGTAGCCGAGAAACGGTATTCTACACGCAAAGACATTTGGGATCATGTGTAGTTTTCATTTGCTGCTGGCAGAGTGGGTTGTAGTTAAAAGTCCCAATCACCATCATTTATTTTATGCGCACACATAAAAGCCAAGGAGGAAGTAGGCCGCTGTTCTAATCATAGAAGTATTGAGATATCAGGCTTAACGCTGGACCACTCGTAATCACTCTGCCTGTCTAAATTAGGCGTACTGTTAAACAAGCGCATGAGTTCCACAACACAGAAGAGAGAATATTGGAGCAGTGCTCGTAGCTATAATTAGGGCAGGGGTATTTATATATTTATTTTAGGAGGTTAATTTCCCATTACACCTGGTTGGAATATATGTGAGCCTACCAGATGCAAAGGGTGGTTTTGTTGTTTCAAATAAGACTTTCAGTCAATTGATTAATTTTGTAAGTGGACAAAGGTGAATAAAAGTAATTATTATTGTATTCGGAGAGAATTCATGTCATTTAATGTCAGCAGGGAAAACAAACCTCAATTTCTATCAGGGTGAATCTCAGATGCCATGGCCAAACTTGAAATTGAAACAATGCTGCCCTCCATGAAAAGTATGAGGCAAATGGAACAGAAAATGCCAATTATAAGGAGACTGCGCAATACTTTTCTGAAGCTATGGAAGAATAACACAAATCCAAATTATTTATTTTACTTCCATGAGCTAATGGATTGTTGCAAAAATGGGTGTTTCATGGAAGAGAGGGTAAGAGGAGAAAGAGGGAGAGAGATTTTTGTCTGTATCATTCACCTCATAGGTTTACCAACAATAGACTGAGAGGCATAAGAATGTGGCATTGCTCATGGAAACTCAGACTCTCCATGTACAGTAGTGCCAGGGCGGACCTCAGCTAGTCTATAGCATCATACTGCCTTAGACCAGAATGAACTGAATTTATAGATGCAAATGAATGTATCTAGTATAATTTTGTTACTGGACCAGTAGTGAATCATGTCTAATAATAACTATAGTGAGCTAGCTGTAATTATGTAGTTCTCATTTTCACAAGATCCAGCAGGGGGAAAAATAGTTTGGAAATCAGGCTGTTCGCCTATATATGTTGTTTTATCTATTCCTCAAGAACTGCTGAGGGCAGGAAACTTGCTTTTTGACACAGGCACATCAATGCTTACATGAAGTGAACAGTGACTGAAAACATATTTTTCCCTTTAGTGGTTCACCTTGCATCAAGAGGAGCTTTGACTTTATGGGGGAAGTTCATGCCCTTTACTTCATATTATTTATGGTGTCTTACTTCACCAGCTGATAATCAACATAAGGCATATTTCCCATGTTTGGAGTCTCTGTTCCTCAGTGCAAAGCCTAGGAGGATAACATCAGACAGGAACATTTGCCTTTTTCCTCTTCCCGGCTGCAGTATATGATTTGATTTTAATTTTGCCATTTCAATCTTTTTAACAAATTAGGCCTGATTCTTCATCCCAGAAACTGTCCACTTCCTGTGGCATGCATTGAATAGTTACAAAAGAATTAAAAGAACAAATTATGGTTGCCATGAACTTCTCTCGCCATGTCAGAGAACTGAGAAATAAGGAGTGACAGAGGATAACATCTGATTAGCTTGAACATGCTGAAAAAATGATTGGTGTAAGTGTCCCACAGATTTAGAAAGCACTGTGCTGAAGCATCCCATTTGATTTGCATACCTGAGGAAAGGCAGTTCAAACAGCGGAGTGTGAGGTCAGTCAAGAATAACTAGTTAAGAGATTCAGTTGGTACCTCTTTTCCTCATGCTTTTTTTATACTTATGATTTAGTTCCAGTTGATCAGAACTGCTATTAGTAGATACTGAGAGAATCAAAAGCTTAGGTTACATTCACCTGTTAACACGTTAAACATTATTATGCTTCTTTAAGTATACATCTGTTTAAAAGGAACCCAGCCCCCCCCAACAATGCAAATTATAACACCATAATCGTTTCTAATTATGTCAGACTGAATTCTAATGTTTTCCACTAGTCCTTAAGTTTTAAGTTTAATTGCTGGGTGATATGCTACTATCTTGATGTTTTGTATTGATCTGTATAGAGAGGGTGGCTTTTGGCTCAGGGTTCTAGTCTCTAGAGGAGAACACAAAAATAAAGCCAAGTGTGATATAAGCATCTATGTTTTCCCTATTATTTCAGCAAGTTGTCACTGGTTTCTAATTCATTAGTTCCATTTTTATTTGTTTTTTCTCTTTCTTTTGTCCCTTTACCTCCCCTCCCCCCTTTTTTAATGGGTATAGGCATCTCAGCAAGGACAGATGCTTGACAGGAATCTTGTCAAACCCCCTCAATAAGCCCTCACTATTTCCTGTCTTTTCTCCTGATTCAAGGGAATCAGAATCTCATGGAAAACTGCCAAGTGCTATAGCCAGTGAGCGACACTGTCCAGTATAATTCTCATCTCTGCATTTCACCTCCAAGTGATCAACTGGCAAGACTGGGAACATGGACACTCAAGGAAATTACTGATATATCATCACAATAGTCTAAAATATTTATACATGTAGAGGAATATAATTTTTGATTTTTATTGTAGCACAGATCATTTTGTTACATTTATAGCCAATTAATCTATAATAATTATAGTCATGAACATGATTTTTCTTTATTTTTCTTCAAAAAATGATATTTTAAATGAAGTCTTAAAAAATTCCATGTGTTGACAAAAGAAAGCAAAAGATAATGAATATATATGAATATATTGTCAGTTGTGCCCCAACATGCTACTAATAAAGAATGTTGCCATGAATCTGAATTGCCATGTAGTTAATTGCCATGAATCTGAATTCTAATATTAAGTCTGCCACTAATATTTCAGAACATTTAATTATGAGCATCTATAGACCTTGTTTTTCTCATCTGTAAAATGAAGAAAGTGAATTTAATAAGATATAAAGACTTCGACAGGCAAAAATTCTATGACTTCCTTGGTCTCCCTCAATAATATAAAAGTATACACTTTTGTAATGCAAACACTTTAAAATCATGACACCACAATTTGAAGTGGTGACTTACAGCTAAAAAAGAGTGTCTGGTATAGAAAAAAAAAAGCATAATTTCTCTTTTTGGATGCTTCTCCAAGTTTGATGAGAGACTAAATGCCTTGCAGCTCCAGGCTAGTATTTCTTCTGTGGCTTTTGCAGCATGAAATACACACCTTTTCTCATCAGACTTAGAGAACTCACTTTGGCCAGTAAAAGGCAAGACTTTTAAGGCTCAATGGCATCCTCTATGGCATTTTATTATTGTTTCACTTTATTCTGAAAAAAAATGCAGCTTAATCAACCGAAAACTCTGAGTTGGTGTGGCCCATAAAGTAACAACTATTAGCACCTGAAATTATAGGTGCTGAGCAGTGAATAGCTGATCAAAAGAAATATATGCCAAACAAATGAGAGAGAACACAGCACACATAATTTACATCAGTCCAAACCTTGGACTTATTAGCCATCAACAGCATAGCTGATATCACCAATATAGGGAATGATAGAATGTAATTTTAATATCATACACAACTAAAAACATTTTTCAAAAAAAGAATGAGTATGACCGAAACCCTCAAAAGTGTGTGTAATAACTGACACATTATTTAATTGATTTTACTTTTCTAAAAGTTAATTTCTTTACTTCTTATTATTAGTCATCGATTACAGCCTTAAAATTAACATAAAGGTGAGGATAACACATGATCTTTACATGTCATCTTATTAAAATGAAGCTATTTTTAATACTTTTAAGAGACCTATCAGAAAACACAATTTATATCCTCAAAGTATATTTTGTCAGTTTCAAGTATAATTTTTGCATTCATATTCTTTTATGAATTTTAATAGAGTCACTTAAATTGTAATTATTCCTCTCAGCTCAAATGCAGGTAACAAATGGAATTCAATCAGTGTTTGCGCATAATGACCATCATTAAGAGAGAAATAATAATGACATTCTCTCTGCATTAAACTTGCAGAGTCTTTACACAATGATCTGAATCCCATTATTGATCTCCATGGAGATATGCAATTGTCACCTATTCTGCATAATATCAGAATGTTAAATACATTTGTTTGGAACAAATATTTTAATGAATACAGTCAGTTCCACTTAATTAACTATCTGATAACTGAATATTTTTACTTAATAATTCAACTTGGAACATCAAAATTGTTCTATTTTTTATTCAAATGCACTTGAGATTAGTCACAGATATTCATCTGAATGTTCATAAAATGTACGTGGAGTTTAAAATTCCCTTTGGCTTCCTTTAAAGTACATCCATTAGAGGGACATTGAAGAGGTATTTTTCATCTGTTTGAAATAATTTTTCCCCTCCGCGTTGTTTAAAATAACCCCTTAGAATCTTACTTGTAAAATGTGTTTTTTGACCAAAATTCTTCTGCCATACTAACTTCCTTTCATCATAGAATCACTCATAAGAGTGCCACTATTCATATTTACTTACATACATACATTTTTAATGTAGGCATGTGGTTGAGGAAATAAAATATAAATAAAGTATTGAATTTACTTGTGCAGAAGCTCTAGGAAAGTCATAATTGGTGAATATGTAACCTATTGATATTTTAAGAAGAAGAGTGCTGGTTAATATTTATAATAATAGTAACAGTAAACACTAGGAATAGTGACTAGATTAAACTTTTTGCCCCTGGGAGCAGTGTCACAGACCAGCAGCATCAACATCTGTGTATAGGTACTGTTTTATCAATCAATTCCACAAACATTTGCTGAGTACTGACCCCAAGTCCAGCATTGCACTCAGGAGCGATGACACACCATAATGAGGAAGACACCAGGCCTGGCCTCAGGAAAACCACCATCCAGTGAGAATAAACTTACAACAAATCGGGACACAAGTGACAAATGCCAGTTATTTAAAAGAAGTGTGCTTAGAAGCATGGAGGTGACAGTGAGTGCTCCCACGGCCCAAGAGAGATCACGACGTCTTTAGAGAGATGGCAAACTTCTCTGTCTTACAGGATGAACACATTTTTGCCAGGTTTAAAATATAGGTAGGATGGTTCCAGACTAGGAGAACTACATGAACAAACCTTGGAGGATTAAGAGTATGTCTATCTTTCTGAGTAGTACAGTGTCACTTCCGTTTATCTAGAGTCTGGGGTGCATAGAAAGCAATACAGCAGAGTGAAACTATAAAGCTTCCTATGATAACTACAACTTATTGAACATTTTCTAGGTTCCAGGAACTTCATATATATCTCAAACTCTCGGTAGAATCTTGTTTGATATCAGTTACATAAACAAAGACATTACATTTAGAGATTTTTAATGACTTGCTTGATGTCACCTAACAAGTAGTTGACTTGCAATTTTGGGCCAATTCTATTGGTGTTTAAAGTCTTGTGACCCCCAGGTGGAGTTAAAAACAGGTTGAGAGGGTCTTGAATGCATGCTTAAGGAATTAGAGAAGTAGTAAATTATTTTCCTCAAGAGAATGACTTAACCAGATCAACAATTTAGAGACAAAGTTTGGGTCATAACATAGGGATCAAATTAGAAGCAAGGAGACTTGAGACAAAACTGCAAATTATGAGGTGTTTTACTGGTCCAGATGAGAATACTTGTACCAGCAGAATGACAATGGGAATAGGAAGGGGACAGACTCAGCAAACTTCCTGCAGTAAAATCAACAGGACTTGGTTTTGAATCAGGTGATTGAGAGTATAAAAAAATACTGGGGGAGGAAAGAAGTTTATGTTCCCATTGTATATCCCTGGAGATGAACTAAAGTTTATACTCAAATGGTATAGTTTTCACAGATTGAAAGTGCATTGATTTTAAAATACCTTGGCTTTATTTCTAGGAAGCCCTGGGAAATTTCAGCAAGGCTATAGTTTCCCCTCATGTTAGCTTTCATTTTAGTGACCATTCCTTCTGATCTATTCCTCCTCAGTGTCTAGGCACCTAATGTGAAAAAAGACAGTCTGACTAACTCACATGTAAATACCATCTACTCAGTGTGTTAATCTTTCCAACACAGCTAAGATGGCAAAAGAAGATTGTTTCTTGGAGGGCAATACTCAAAGCAAAAATTAAAACAACATGTATCATTCACCTATTTATTGGTTTGTTGAGCATCGAGAATGTCTCAGTCTCTTGGGATAAAAAGATAATAGTGACAGAGTTCACACCAGGTAGTCTGTCTTTGGGACAGACATGCATCTTGGAGAGCCGGAGTGTGGGCTATGGTAGGCAAAATGCTGCTGCCTCCACACTGCACCCACCTAGATGTTTATGCCCTAATTAACGTAAACTGTGAATACATCCTGTTACACAGCAAAAGGAACTTTGCAGATGGTTTTGAGGTTAAAGATCCTAAAATAGGAAAACTATCCTGGATTATCTGGATGGGCCCAGAGTAATAACATAGGACATTAAAAGTGGAAGAGGAAGATGGAGGTCAGTAAAAAAGGTGCAGTAGAAGAAAAGGCAGAAGAGATTCAAAGTGTGAGCAGAATTACACCACATTGCTAGCTTTGCATATGGAAGAAGATGGCTACAAGCCAGGAAATGTGTGGCCTCTGGAGGTTGGGAACCTCCTTCATAGAGAGCTAAAAACTGGTGTTATTAGTCCTACAAACACAAGGAACTGATTTCTCTCAACATGAATGAGCAAAGAAAGAGATTCTGTCCTAGATGAGCTGTCCTATAGAAGTATGAGATAAAGTTTTGTTTTAAGTGGCTAAGTTTTTAGTAATTTATTACTTCAGTAATAGATAAATAATGCAAATGAGAATAAAAGCAATGCTTACCTTAAAATTATATAGAAAATATTAAATACAATACATCACCACATCTCATATATAGAAAACACTGAAGCAATTAGCTCTTAGTTTTACCATTATAGGACTGATTCTAAGCTTATCCCTTGGCCCACAGAGGTTTTTCCATTTTACCAGAAGTGCTATGTAAAATGCCAACCATTCTCCCTGTCCATGATCTACTGCCTCAGTTTCAGAGATATGGTTGTGAATCCAACCTAATTTAAAGGGGGACTTCCATGTCCTCACATTCTTTTTGGGATCCACCTCACCCATGACTGATAATGGGAATACAATAAAATTTAATTCCTTGCAGAAAAGATACAAGTTTTAGACCTTATCTTAACTCCCTCCCCCAAGGCAATAGTTCTCAGAGACAGCTCAAATACGACTTATAGTACTAAAGAGAACACTCTGCTCTTTAGATAAAGAACATCTGCACTCAGGTCAATGATTATGTCATGGTTCCACCAAGGAACAGTGGGGCTAGTGTTTACTTCACACTCTGATACCAAAGGTTGAAGTCCGGTGGTTAGTGGAGAGAGAATGTGATTTCTCACTTGTTTTGCTACCCCATTCCATTTACTGAGTAATTACATCTCATTTTGCTTTGAAGGGGCCACCTGTACTAGATGTTATTGGGTCCCTACACCTTGTATTTTACCATCTTGGAGCAGGATGGTCCAACTTCCAAGTGCCAACATCTACATCTCCACCCTAGGGCTCCCTTTAGTCTACAGTGTTTTCTGTCTATGTGCCTGGCAGGACAGATAGAGTCCCGGAGAATGAACTCCTTCAGGAGTGACTCTCAGTCAGTGGCTGATGGGAGTTGGACTACACATTTCCTGTTTTTCTCAGGTGGGGTAACCACAGTTGCCCACAGCACAACTAGGTTTCAGTTACCAGTCATGGCAGCCGGCTCTATAAGTTACCTTTCACTGGCTGCCTTCCCTTCTTGACAAAACTTACCACA